GGCACTAGAGACAATGTTGACACATGATGACATGCGCGATATTGATGTGAGTGATTTAGGTGATGAACTGAAAGCCCTTTCAAGACACATTTCAGCAAGATCAACTCCAAAGGCTGTTCTGGAATATATGTGCACAAATAAGATGACCACCCTCTTTCCAAATGCGTTTGTTGCTTTGCGCATACTTCTAACACTTCCTGTAACCGTTGACAGTGGAGAACGCAGCTTCTCCAAGCTGAAGTTAATAAAAACACATCTACACTCCACTATGACACAGGAGAGGCTGGTCGGCCTTGCAACCATCTCAATAGAGCATGAGCTGGCCCAGACTGTGGACCTTCAGGAAGCTGTTCAAATCTTTGCAACCAAGGCGGCACGGAAAGCACCACTTTGATTATTCAAACAGATAAAAATGTCAGTGTTTATGATGCAGACAAGAAAAGTTACATTTGCTGTTCAGGCATTGGAAAGTTAAGTGTTACTTAAAATTTTTGAACAAGGCATTTTCAGTTGTTAGTTCTCCTTTATTGGAGTAGGTAGCAGAGCAGTACCATGAGAGGAGCAGAACAGGAAGAAGGCAGAATTGAGACCTTTCAAAGTTTTGGCCCAAGCGAGGAGGCATGGGAGCGTCATTTGAGCTCCCCACCTCAGGTGCCAAAATGTTGTGGGCCGGCCCTGCCTACACTGTTCGTAGTTTGGCATTGTGGTATCTGGCAACTACAATACCGGATAATGGATCACTTTCCCCTAGTCATTCACACTCCCAATATCCCAGAGTAGGAACTGTAGAGAGAGAAAACACTCATCTGGAACTTTGTGTAAAGAATCCTGAGTAAGGATAATCATACCTGGTAAAGCTGAATTGTAATGGTATAAAGAACAGAATGGAAATAAAACAGTGTCCCAGAAGCTATGCCTGTGTTATTTATTTATTCATTTCCCTTCAAAACTGTGTAAGAATAAATGCAGAGAGTGCAATCCTAGTCTCATTGAAGTCCATGGTAAACTTTCATTGATTTCAGTGGGGTCAGGATTTCACCCAACATTTAAATTGCAATCCTGCAATGTGGTTCTGAAAGTACATACCTTGAAAAATGCTGCTAAAAGTCAAGTACCAGGTAGCAAATTTAACTGCTAATATCCAGGGCAAAGACTCTGCTTTTTGGAGCAGATATTGAATTGAGAAGTTACTTTTCTGCTAGTTAAGCATTAAGCAGATTGTTGATCCACTAGAATTATATGTTAGATTTTATTTTCAAACCAGGAGTGGGTTTAGCTAAAGTAACAAAATTATTATATCCCCGGACAAAGTCATTCTGAAGTTTGCAAACTACACCAGTGTTATATCCAGAAAGAACAGCCACGAAACTCAAGCTTTCTAGAGAATGAAAGGGTAATAGCTTCATAGACTCATAGGTCAGAAAGGAACATTGTGATCATTTAGTCTGACTTCCTGCACATTGCAGGCCACAGAACCTCACCCACCCACTCCTGAAATAAACCCCTAACCTCTGGCTGAGTTACTGAAGACCTCAAATCATGGTTTAAAGACTTCAAGTTACAGAGAATTAATCATTTACACTAATGTTCCTATTCACAATGTGAGGAATGCACCTTATGTTTATATGTAACTAAAACAGAGATTGTGGATTATAAAGTGACATCAGATCTTGCTTATATATACAATAATGCCCCTGAAACATAGGATTTGTTTTTTTCAGTGGTAGCAGGAGGAAAGAATTTTATCTAGTTAGGTTTGACATACATTTTCCAGAAGATGGTACTGCCTTGTAAATCTGAATGTTTGTATAGATTCTTGTCAATAAAATAATAATAATTAATAAAGTGCCTTTGATGTGACAGCCATGATCTCACAGACGGCCATCTGGCACTTCGAATCC